CGACCTCTCGGCTGCCATAGCAGCCAGACTCTTGTTTACATGCCAGTGTTGTTGGCTACTTTATAGTTAGGCCAGCAGTGGTGAAAGGATTCAAGGTAGTTGTTTTCAGAGGTTGATATTAGGCTAGTGCTACAACATCGGGACATTTAGTTAATATCTTATATACAGTTTAATGCTAATAGGAACTGATAGAAAGTTGCTGCAGATATGACTCTTACCATTTAAGATGGTGTTGGGCACACGGCTTAGCCCTTCATGCTTTATGAGAAAACGACAGGAGCATAGAGCAGGAAATTACATAGTTACATAGTTAGTCTGGCTGCAAAAAGACAAAAGTCCATCCAGTTCAACCATTAAAAAAAAAAAAAAAAAAAGTGAGAATCCTATACCCACAGTTGATCCAGAGGAAGGCAAAAAACCCAGCAAAGCATGATCCAATTTGCTCCTGCAGGGAACAAAATTCCTTCCTGATCCCCGAGAGGAAATCGGATGTTCCCTGGATCAACATCATCCTACATGCTACATCATAACTATGTAGTTCTACTAGGAAGAACATTACATTATTCAAGCATTAGAAAAAACACCACAAGCAAGTGACATGACCACTAATCACAATATAATATTGGAGAAAGGCTGTTGCACCTACAGTATATCTGTATAAACAGTATGTTAACATGAACTACACTATATTGTAAAAAGTATTGGGACACCTGCCTTTACACACACATGAACCTTAATGGCCCCCCAGTCTTAGTCCGTAGGGTTCAATATTGAGTTGGCCCCGCCCTTTGCAGCTATAACAGCTTCAACTCTTCTGGGAAGGCTGCCCACAAGGTTTAGGAGGGTGTCTATGGGAATGTTTGACCATTCTTTCAGAAGTGCATTTGTGAGGTCAGGCACTGATGTCGGATCCACTCTAATTCATCCCAAAAGTGTTCAATCAGGTTGAGATGCAGGCCAGCCAAGTTCCTCCACCCAAAACTCGCTCATCCATGTCCCTTTATGGACCTTGGTTTGTGCACTTGTGCGCAGTCATGTTGGAACAGGAAGGGGCCATCCCCCAAACTGTTCCCACAAACATGGGAGCATGAAATTGTCCAAAATGTCTTGGTATGCTGACACCTTAAGAGTTCCCTTCACTGGAACTAAGGGGCCAAGCCCAGCCTCTAATATGGAAGAAAGTGCCTTCATGAAAGCATCCCCTCCAACAGTTACGGTCTGCCTCAGGGAAAATCCTAGCTAACTGTGAGGGTGTCCTATACCATCGAGATAAGAATTTATAGCACAACTCTTGTGTCTTAGAGCTGGTGGAGGATACATGGGATAATTTGATAATTTTCTGTAACTCGTGGAGCATAAATTCAAGATCTAAATCCAAATCCCATTCCCTAACATAGTAGGGAGTCGTCTGGGAGAAAATGGAGAGCAGACCCTGTACATTTGAGAGATTAAATGTTTAGATTCCCCCAAGGTACATGCACATAGATTCGAAAGGAGTTATTGAGTCATGCTGTCAGGAATGGACTCACCATTAGTGGTGGGACTCATCTGCCATGTGGACTGCAGTACCAGGGCTGGCCAGCGGGTGCTCTCAGCAACCAGAAGCTCACTCCTGCAATCAGCCATCACCTGATGCTGATTGCAGGAGGTGTATTTTAGGAATGGCCAGACCTGCAGTCAGTGCCTTGGTGTATAGTTTCCCTTGGCCCCTGTATCCTGATCCTGCCTGCTTGAATCCTGACTCTGCATGAACTCTGCCTGTACCGACCTCGGCTATTCCGGAATACTCTTCCGCCTGCTCCTTGTACCTTGCCTGCCCGTTTGCTACCGACCCTGGCCTGCCCGACTACGTTTAGTATTGTTCTTATTGTTATCTGTTGGAGGTTTGGTTTGTTTGCACTGTGTTTATGTTTAGTCTTGCACTGCATTTATGTATTGTTTAGTCTTTAATAAATTGTATTGTTTATACTATACCTGAAGCCTGCGTTTCCCTGTGTCAGTCCACACATCTCTGGTCATACCTGGAGCCCTGACACATGCAGACATACTTTAGGGTGAATTAATTTCTGGAAGAAATCATGTAACTGTCCCCACTCTGTCATTTTACATGGCCTACCACTTTGTGGCCGAGTTGCTGTCGTTCCCAGTTGCTTCCACTTTGCTATAATACCAGTAATAGTTGACCATGGAAAATGTAGTATTAAGGAAGTTTCACAGATGGACTTATTGCGCACGTGGTACCCATTCTTTCACAAATGTTTGTAGAAGCAGTCTGCATGCCTAGGTGCTTGGTTTCATATACCTGTGGTCATGGAGGTGTTTGGAACAACTGAATCACATGATTTGGAGAGGTGTCCCAATACCTTTGGCAATATAGTGTATATGTGATTATTACCTAAAATAGTAAATTATCTTGTTAATTATTAAAAACCATCAAATTCTTCCCTAGAGCAGCAGTTTATATCCCTGTAACATGAAATACCTCTAACAACACAGATGTTCACACAAAGACTAGGCAAAAAAAACCTGACAATCAAAGATGCAGTCCAAATGATTTGCTGCAGCTTAGGGCTAGATGTTGATTTATTTTGTTTCTCTTAATAAAGTGCTGGCCAGTTTGAAGTGATTCTAATCTGTCTTCCCTGCTGCTGGTCGCGATAAATCCGTCTTCTTGTAAATTCCCAGTACACTGTAGTAATCCCCAATCCCAACTGTACAGCTGCCATTTCATTGTTTTTGAATATTACAGTAATTTGATGGTCCAGTTTGAATTATGTTTTTGCAAGGAAAGCATACATTGTGGAGCTGCAGCCTTTTGAGTTTAAAATCGTGTTATCTATCAATAAATCAAGATATGAAAAGACAATGTTATTCTGAGCTATAGTCCTTCCAGAAGTTTGTACAGCATACTGAAGCTTGTGGGGGTGATCCACAATGACTATGTGTCATGTCAGCGTTATTACTTATCTATGAATTATCTATTATTATCTATCTATAATGTGCACTGTATGTTGTTTTTTTTTATATCAGTAAATTGACTTACTCTTAGATAAAAAGTGCAAAACTGTGTTTTAACCACTTCCAGTCCGGACACTTTCCCCCCCTTCCTGACCAGGGCAATTTTCAGCTTTTAGCGCTATCACATTTTGAATGACAATTGCGCGGTCATGCAACACTGTACCCAAATGAATTTTTTACCATTTTTTTGAGACAGATAAAGCTTTATTTTGGTGGTATTTATTCACCACTGGGATTTGTATTTTTTTTGCTATGTAAATGAAATGTCCAAAAATTTTGAAAAAAAGTGTTTTTTTTTATAAAATTTTGCAAATGAATAATATTTCATCATAAATCTTAGCCAAAATGTATTCCGTTATCTTTTTAGTAAAAACAACAAAAAAATCCAAATTAGTTTATAAGCAAAAATTATAATTTTTAAACATTTTTTTTTACATTTTTGTTTTATTTTTTTATATTATTATTTTTTTTATATTTTTTTATTTTTTTTACATACTGTCACCCTAGCAGTACAGTGTCACCATGGTGACACTGTACTACTTGTGGGGGGTGATGAAGATTTTTTTTTTTTTTTTTACACTGATTGCTTTTGCACCCATATAGGATGTAAAAGCAATAATTTCTCTTTCTCTCTGTCTGCATTCTTGCACTCATTGAGAAGTACTGAGTGAGCTGTGATTGGCCACAGCTTGTCACATGGTACAAGGCTTTTGTGAATAGCCTTGTACCATGTGACCTCTGTGATCATTCACAGATTTCACACGTAGTAAGCAATGATTTCACCAGTGACATCTTGCTTACTACTTTGCATGTGATCACTGATTGGCCAATCAGTGATCACATGATCGGGACCTCGTACAGAGGTCCCGTCAGACGATCGGTGTTTCACTGTGTCCGGAGGACACAGCGGGCACCGGATCGCGGTGCTGCGCGCTCCCAGGGAGCGCGCACAAGCAGGGTGCGGGGAGGCCGTTTATAGACGGCCACCCGACCCTGCAGTGCCACCGTCCGGCCATTTATATACGACGGCCGGTCGGGAAGTGGTTAAGGCAAAACTTTTTTTTTCCCATTTTCGGAGGGGTGTAAGGGAGGGTTATATATATATATATATATTATATACACTATATTGCCCAAAGTATTGGCATGCCTGCCTTTACATACACATTTATTATTTATTGATGATAGGTACTTATATAGTGCTGTCAATTTACACAGCTTTTACATATATAGTGTACATTCACATCAGTCCCTAACCCTCAAGGGGTGTACAATCTAAGGTCCCTAACTCACATTCATACATACACATACTAGGGACAATTTAGACAGGAGCCAATTAACCTACCAGCATGTCTTTGGCATGTGGGAGGAAACCGGAGTACCCGGAGGAAACCCACGCAGGCACAGGGAGAACATGCAAACTCCAGGCAGGTGGTGCCATGGTTGGGATTCGAACCAAATAACCCTAGTACTGCCAGGCGGAAGTGCTAACCTGAACTTTAATGGCATCCCAGTCTTAGTCTGTAGGGTTCAATAGTGAGCTGGCCCACCCTTTGCGCTATAACAACTTCAACTCATCTGGGAAGGCCATCCACAAGGTTTAGGAGGGTGTCTATGGTAATGTTTGACCATTCTTCCAGAAGCACATTTGTGAGGTCAGGCACTGATGTCGGATAAGAAGGCCTTACCCGCAGTCTCCACTCTAATTCATCCCAAAGGTGTTCTATCAGGTTGAGTTCAGGACAAGTTGCAGGCTAGTCAAGTTCCTCCACCCCAAACTCGCTCTTGTCTTTATGGACCTTGCTTTGTGTGCCAGTCATGTTGGAACAGGAAGGGGCCATCCCCAAACTGTTCCCACAAAGTTGGCAGCATGAAATTGTCCAAAATGTCTTGGTACGCCCTAAGAGTTCCCTTCACTGGAACTAGGGGGCCAAGCCTAACCCCTGAAAAACAACCCCACACCATAATCCCCTCTCCACCAAACTTTACAATTGGCACAATGCAGTCAGGCAAGTACCATCCTCCTGGCAACCGCCAAACCCAGACACATCAATTGGATTGCCATACAGAGAAGCATGATTCGTCACTCCCTCCAGAAAACGTCTCCACTGCTCTAGAGTCCAGTGGCCACGTGCCTTAGACCACGGCATCCAACAATTTGGATTGCACTTGGTGATGTAAGGCTTGGATGCAGCTGCTCGGCCATGGAAACCCATTCCATGAAGCTCCGTACATCATGCTGTTTTTGTGCTAATCTTGAAGGCCACACAAAGTTTGGAGGTCTTTAGGTATAGACCAGGGGTGGGCAAACTTTTTGACTTGAGGGCCGCAATGGGTTCATATATTGGACCCGGGGGCCAGACCAAGAGTAGATGAATGATGTGTATGTGTGAATTAATATAAATTAAATTAAAATTTGTAACATTAAATGTTTAGATTAATTTAAGGTAGAAAAGCATAAAAAGAGTTATTTAACAAAACTGTTATGCCCCCACTAGCTGCTGGCCGGCCCAGCCACTACCATGCCATCCATAGTAAGTATAGTAATATTCCCCCATAGTAAGCATAGTAATTAATCCCCCATATAGTAATTCATCCCCCATAGTAATTCATCCCCCATAGTAATTCATCCCCCATATAGTAATTCATCCCCCCTATAGTAATTCATTCCCCATATTAATTCATCCCCCATAGTAATTCATCCCTCATATAGTATTTCATTCCCCATAGTACTATCCCCCCCAAGTAGTAAGCCAAGTCCCCCCTGTGTCAATTTACTTACCTTTGCTCCGCGCGTTCCTCTCGCCGTGTTCCCGCGCCGTTCCGGTCTTCAGGGCGGACTGTGAGAGGAGCCTAGCTCCCCTCACGTTCGTCACGCTGCCCCGCCTACACACATCCTGACAGCCAATGTTTGCCTGCCCTGGCTGTTTTTTTTTTTTATCACGCTCCGCGGGCGGATTAAAAGGTCCGCCGGGCCGTATACGGGCCGTGGGCCGTAGTTTGCCCATTGCTGGTATAGACTCTGCAGAAAGTTGGCGACTTCTGCGCACTGTATGCTTCAGCATGTGCTGACCCCACTCTGTCATTTTACATAGCCTGTTGTTCCCAGTTGCTTCCAATCTGTTATAATACCACTAACAGTTGACTGTGGAATATTTAGTAGCCAGGAAATTTCACAGATGGATTTATTGCACAGGTGGAAACCTATCACAGTACCACGCTTAAATTCACTGAGCTCCTGAGAGCAACACATTCTTTCACAAATGTTTGTAGAAGCAGTCTGCATGCCTAGGGGCTTGATTTTATACACCTGTGGCAATAGAGGTGATTGTAACACCTTAATGCAATGATTTGGAGGGGTGTCCCAATACTTTTGGCAAGTGTGTATGTGTGTATATTGTGGCAGTGCGGTGTCCTACCACGGTCAAAATCAAGCTGATAACCCTGGGTTTTCAACCAGGTAGGTTGAGGGGCTCCAGAAGATTGATGTAATGCAGAGGAAACTGGCTTTTCGGTTTTCTCATTTATTCATAGAGTCTGTTTTGGGATCTGGAGCCTGGAGATTTTAAAGAGATCTGGGAGGGATGAAATCTCCAATCCTGGGACCAGGTTTGGGGAATGGCCAGGACACTGATTGCACAGGTGTTCTGGTGCATGGTTCTGGGCTCCACCCTGGCAGACGGAGTCAGGTGGGCACCAGACTAGCTGTGTGTGAGAGCCATAATTTGGGAAGAGTCTGCAGGAGATAGACATCAAAACTGTGCACAAGCCAGGAGGCTGAATCTTTGTTGTTTTTCGCTTGATGGTGGATACCCCTGCGTGGGAACCATGGTTCTGGGCTCCACCCCGGCAGACGAAGTCAGAAGGGCTCCACCCTGGAAGACAGGCGGTCTCTGCCTTGGAGTCAGGTGGGCTTCACCAAGGAGAGGTGGAAGCCAGACTAGCTGTGTGCTAGTGGCTAGCTGTGTGCGAGAGCCATAATTTGGGAAGAGTCTGCAGGAGACAAACATCAAAACTGCGTACAAGCCAGGAGGCTGAATCTTTGTTTTTGCTTGATGGTGGATACCCCTGCGTGGGAAGCGTTTTTGTTGAACTTTAAATAAAATTGGGCAAAAAAGGCCCTTAAAAAGAAGCGAGTTGCTGTGTGCTTTTGAAAGGAAAAGCTCTACCACTGGAAGTGAGTTCCCACATATAGTGGCGGATGCAGCGAGCAGAACTAGAGATCCCAGCAAAGAAGTAAGTTCATCAGTTATATGAACTGTGTTTATGTGCAATGGACAGCACTATCTGTGTGTGCAGGTGAGGAGATCCTGCAAGAGAAAAGGAACTTTCCTTAAAGAGACACGGCTCCATTGTGTTGCTGGACTGTGCAAAATTGTTGTGGAGTGACTGCAAGTATGAGGCATGCAAAGAGAGGACATTACTCTAAGGTGGGAAGATCCCCCAGTTTTTGAGTCGGCTGTGGAGTGGGGTCAGCGCCTGCTGGCAACAGTGAACCCAGTTAAAGGGGAAGTGCATGTTGTTGCCCCTGGCAACGCTGGTGAAGGGAAACCAGCTTTCTGTGTGCAGAGTACTAAGCCTGAAAGAGGATGCAGTGTTGGACGTTTGGCCAAGATACTGCCGCAAGATCGCTGTTTTGCGGTGCACTGAATGGGGGCACACTGTCTCCAAGTGCCCTTTATCCCAGCTTCCAGTGCAAGGTGACACAACCAGACAAAGGTCTGAGTATGCAATTGGGAAGCCTGCTTGGAGTTCCAAGAAGGAGCAGCAGGCTACCTGAAAGTTTCAGAAGAATGTGGTTGTCCATAGCAACACCTGTGACTTCAGGCCTGCGGACCCTGTGAGAGAAGTGTCGTCTGCAGAGGATTGTGGTAACGCAGAGAGGAGAGTTCAGCGCCTCTGGAGGAACCCACAAAGTTCAGCTGGGAGAGTGCTATCTCCCATAGCAACAGGAGAAAGCCTGTCAACCAGGAGAAGGGGCTACAAGGGAGATGTGGTTCCATATCCCAAGAATGTTATGTGTGGAACCATACCCTGCCTGGAATGTGGTCAGCTTGGCCATGGTATCTTTTCCTGCCCCAGATTATGGAATACCACTGATGAGGGTGCTACTGGGTAAAAGTCTTCATCTGCAAGCCCAGATTTGTGTTTAAAAATGTTGGCAGCCACCGCTAGCAACAGTGAGGAAGTACCTGTTGTGCCTGCAGGGGGTGCCAAGGAGTCAGAAGTGCCTGCCACAGTATCATCCTATAGCTGCATGGATGAACTGGCTGGCCAAAGCCAAGCAGAGGAGATGACTGGATCCAGATCCCACGCACTCAAGTAAAGAAGGTGAAGCCTGTTACAGTGGTAGGTAAGACTGGTACTTTTGAGATAAATGTGAGAGATACTAATGCAATGATTGAGACTGACTTTGAGACTCTCTGCTATAAATTTGGGATACTCCCAGTTGGGAAAACCCACTGCTGGTGATTGTGAGAGACTTGCCTCTGTATATTGCTTTGTTTAGTGGGGAGGCAACGGTTAAAAATGTCAATGTGAAGAGTACCGATATTGGGGTTGCACCAATGTCATATAAACAGCATGCTGAATTAAATGTAGTAGGGGTGACCACTAAGGATGTGTTGTCTCCCCTAGCAACGGTGGTTAAGGTAACCCAGGATAACTATGGTGTTGTTTTGGTGGACCAGAGTGTATCTGAATTGAGTGATGAGAATGTTATTTCAGTCTGGCAATGGTGAATCTAAAAGGTATGAATGTATTCATAATGATGGGTTAATGCAATCCACTAATGCAAAAGTTTTTGTAGTGAATGACACGCCACCAGGTCACGGGGGTGAGAGTATGAAATTGCAACCTGCTGTGCCTAGAAATGGAGTCTCCCAGTGTGATATGGATAAAGGAGATAGGGGAATGTGTCTGATACAGAGCCACTCTGTCCCTCTGTGTCTCCTTCAAGCGGTTGGAGTGGTACTGCGTAGTACCTCTGATGGGATCACAGGGAAGATGGACTGGGACAGATGGGCAACAAGCTTGTTAGCTTTAATGAAAGAGGCCTCGGTGGGTAACAATGGGGTGGACATGGTTTCTGCTGTGCTGAATAGAGGGACTGTGGAGCAGCTATCAGTCCAGGGCGCACCTGTCACTGCCAAAATTAACCCACCGCTGGTAAAAGGCACCATTGAGGATAAACGCTCAGCAGAAGTTCTGCCCACAGCCCATAAAGGAGTTAATGGTGTGGTATACCAAATTGATAGCCATAGAGAAGATGTGGAAGAGCTCATTGACACTGAGCTTCAGAGTATTTGGGTGAATCCCACACCTGGTTATGCTCTGGGAGAGCCCCAGGTTATTGTATTGGGTACCTCCAGCCGAGAGGAAGCCTCGTTAAGAAGCACCACCTCTGAGGCATCAGTAAATGAGTGTCTCCAGGAAGGTCTTATGTGTAGAATCCGGCTGTCTTTTTATAACGGACCTGCTGAGGGAAATGTTAGCTTTCTGGGGTGTACAGCTGGTGTATACCTTGCGGTCTCTTCCGTGTTCGGGAGAGCTGGTACAGCGGAGTACCGCTAATTGGAGCTGGGTATTACAGGCTATACAAGACAAAGATGGTCAATATAGGAATTCTGTGATACCATCCTTGTTGGTAATGGTGAAAATTGTCTTTCAGTGCATTGCTGGGTTGCTTCATAGCAGTAATCTGTATGAGAGGCACACCGAAGTACTGTTGGACAGGACAGAGGTTTGGAGAGAAGTGCCGGAAGACACATGTATATGTGATGTGGTTGGTGTTGTCAACCCGAATGTAGCATTATGTAAGGATGGTTTGGTGTCAGGACAGTTGCTGGCAGAGTCTTTTGTGACAGTGAAGTCAATGGGTAGTGAAGTATCCATGGGAGACACCCACTCCGCACTTGTAAAAAGGCACGGGGATGTCTTGGAGCCCAAGTAATGGGAGACAGGGGGGAAGTCACCTCTGGGGGCAGGGAGTAGCGTCTCCCTTTGCTGAAAATGAAGTCAGCTAGGATTGGACCTTTTACAAGTGATTGCCGGCACAGAAGGTCTAAATCAAGGAGTTTAGGTTCGTGTTTTCCGCCCCCTACGGGGTCAAAACAAATCCTGGGGGGGGGGGGGGGGGGGGGATATGTGGCAGTGCGGTGTCCTGCCACAGTCAAAATCAAGCTGATAACCCTGGAATCTCAACCAGGCAGGTTGAGGGTCTCCAGAAGATTGATGTAATGCAGAGGAAACTGGCTTTTTGGTTTTCTCATTCATAGTCTGTTTTGGGATCTGGAGCCTGGAGATTTCAAAGATCTGGGAGGGATGAAATCTCCAATCCTGGGACCAGGTTTTGGGAATGGCCAGGACACTGATTGCACAGGTGTGTGCAGGCCTTTTTGTAGAGACCTAACCAATGGTTCTGGGCTCCACCCCGGCAGACGGAGTCAGGAGGGCTCCACCCTGGCAGACGGGAGGTCTCTGACTTTGAGTCAGGTGGGCTTCACCAAGGAGAGGTGGAAGCCAGACTAGCTGTGTGCTAGTAGCCAGCTGTGTGTGAGAGCCATAATTTGGGAAGAGTCTGCAGGAGACAAACATCAAAACTGCGTACAAGCCAGGAGGCTGAATCTTTGTTGTTTTTTGCTTGATGGTGGATACCCCTGCGTGGGAAGCATTTTTGTTGGACTTTATCTTTAAATAGAATTGGGCAAAAAGGCCCTTAACCTCCCTAACGGTATTCCCGAGTGTAGCTCGGGGTAAAATGTCAGTGCCAAAAGCAGTAACCCCGAGCTACACTCGGGCTTACCATGCGGCGTTGCATAGGGAGTCCCTGCAGCACTTACCTTGTCCTTCGCTCCCATGATGTGTCCCCTGCAGCATCCCCGCCCATCTCCTCCGGCCGATGCCGGCATCCGGCTTCTGTGTTCCGGTCCCTGTGATGTTGGGATGTACGGGCGGTGGCGAGATATTTGAAAATTTTAAAAAATGTCATTTTTTTTTCAAAACACATTTTTTATAGTAAAACATTGCTGTTTCAACCCATTTCACATATATATTGTCCCGAGTGCTTTGTCCTGCACCCTGCCTGCGTTTCGTCTGTTCTTTCTGCCTGGAAACTGAGAAACGTCCATGGCGTCCAAAAAGTGTCCCTTTTAGCTCAAAAGCGGTTTTAGACCGGCTAGAGAACAGCGATAGTAAATCAGAACCACTTGCAGAATTGAGTGATAATGATTTGTGGGGAAATTGGTCATCAGACACTGAAAACGATTTTGCGACTTTGCTCAGCGATGTGTGAACTTGGCGCTATATTTCACATTTCAGTGTTTTCGGTTTGATTATATTATTGAATTAAATTTATTATTATTATATTTTTTATGATTATTTATTAAATTATAATTTATGATTTCGTGTTTCAAATTTTATCCTACCCGGGATGTTTACTAGACTCTTGTTCGGACAGATGTCAGTGAGTTATTCCTCTAAAAATTACAGCCTACAATAAAAAAAAACTACATATTTCCATGCAAAATAATGGTACCGCTTTCAGCACCAAAAATCTGAAATAATCAGACCGCCGAGGAGGTTAAAAAGAAGCGAGTTGCTGTGTGCTTTTGAAAGGAAAAGCTCTACCACAGGAAGAGAGTTCCCACTATATATATATATATATATATATATATATATATATATATATATATAATATATATATAATTTTTTTTTTTTTTAGCATTGCACTAGTCGTCTTTGAACAGTATTTGTGCACAGGGAAAGGGTCTTAAGGGTTTTTTTGTTTGCTAACAGGTCTTGTAATTGCCATTTCATGTTTATTACATAATTAGATTGGTTTCGTATTGTTAATAGAAAATGGAGCTGTCAGCTCAGTCTGTAAGGTAGCACCTGTCAAATGTGGAATACAGAGAAGTTCTCTCTGGAGCCCTCCCACAGGGGCCCAATGCTTGGGAACATTAATCTCCAGATTGGATGCCCATTGGTTAATCATATAAAATAAATGATTAGCTAATCAAGAAAATTGCTGATTCACTAATTTTCGATTTGTATATTTGCTGATAGATTTGATTGCTCTGAGGAGCAATTTTAAGAAACCAGACAGACCTGATTGAGTAGTACTTAATGTATGATGAGAAATGTCTTCACACTAAAGAGAATCAAATATATTTTCTAATCAACCTAATTTGTAAATTGATTTGCCCATCCCAGTAATTAAGTGACTATACTGGAGTCTTAAAATGGATCTCTACTTTATCTGGAAGGCATTTAGTTTGCTAAAACACTGTGTATCATAAACAATTGCTGTGTTTGTTTTGTTTTTTTTTTTTTTTTTTCTCTTCATCAAATACTGTTTTATCCTCTCCCTTTTTGCATCTCGGTGCTGTTGATCTTTCAGCCTTTTCCAACCACTTCCAATCTACATGCATACACTTGAACACCAATTGCACATCATTCCTCTAGACCAGCTTCCTTTAGTGACAATAGTGGATCATGCCTGCACAATGTTTCAGTATTGCCATTTGTAGTCTCAACCGGAGTATGACTGCAGCAGCACAATTTGGAGGATTTAGCAACTAGGTTTGGATCTACATCTTTTAAAAATCACAAAATAATGAAAGAGGTGTTTTGTGCATCTACCAGGGGTGGACTGACCATTTGGAAACTCGGGCACTGCCCGAGGGCCCGGGGTCATTAGGGGGCCCCATGAGATTCCCCTGGTACCTTTTTTTTTTTTTTTTTTCATAGGCTTTTTTGAGTTTGGGCAAGGACACAGGGGCCCCATGATCCCCTATTGCCCCGGGGGCCCCATGAGTTGTCAGTCTGCCCATGGTATCTACCCTCTGTCCATGTAGCTCATTTGTGCAAATTCAAGGAACTACATCTGTCATGTACAAAGACACTTCTTATATTACTGTCGTACAAATAAATAGTTGTCACTTGTGTTTAGTGGAAATATTATGTCTTTATCAAATATTACTGTTTGAGAAAGCTACCAAATAGTAAATAAGATGCTCCGGTGCATTTATGATTAGGGAAATTGTTCTGGGTTTGTATTGGGGGGTCGTCAAACATAATGTGAAGTCTGAAGATTGTGAAGTTAAAAACAATCCCCTTAATCGATAGAGGATGAATTTTAATAATTAAATCTGACCATTATCAAGGCTAATATGTGCAGGTTTGCAAAAACAACCAAAAAAAGGCATGGAGAGTTGGGCACTGCCACAAGGAAGATGTACCAATGCAAAAAAAATGTATATAATATAGTTTGCAGTGAAGTGAGGGTCCTCCTTTTAATGTGACTTTGTAGCAAAATAGGAAAAGTCAGCCATTTCAATTACATTCATGGGAGATGCTTTTAAACTGTATGTGGTGTTAAGGAACAGTATGCTCTTCACAGGGAGAATCAGCGATACTGTATTCAGGCATCCCATATTTTGAATGTGTAGTTCATTACTTTTACATTTAGCTTTGCTTAAATACAGCAGCACCTCAACCTGATTAATTTCAGCATTTAAACATTTTTTTTTTTTTATATATATTTAATTGTGACTGCATTTGTCAGGAATGGACTCGCCAATGGTGGTGGGACTCACCTGCCTTGCGGGCTGCAGTACCAAGGCTGGCCAGCGGGTGCTCTCAGCAGCCAGAATCTCACTCCTGCAATCAGGCCATCACCTGAGGCTGATTGCAGGAGGTGTATTTAAGCAGGACCAGGCCTTTTGATCAGTGCCTTGGTGTATGTTTCCCATGAGCCCCTGTACCTGCATCCTGTCTGCTTCCTGCCTGATCCTGCTTTGAACCTGACTCTGAACGAACTCCGCCTGTCCTGACCTCAGCTATTCCTGACCACTCTTCCGCTTGCTCCTGGTACCCTGTTTGCCCGTTAGCTACCGACCCGGCCCGTTTGACTACGTTGTGCTATATATATATATATATATATATATGATCAGTTTAGGTTTGGTTTGTTGCACTGCGTTTATGTTTGCGTTGTCCTTAATAAATTATCTTGTTTACACACTATACCTGAAGTCTGTGTTTCCCTGTGTCGGTCCACACACAGCAATACCTGATATTCTTATCCAGAGGTAATAGGCCTGAATTGAACGGTGGAAGTAGCAACCACAGCAGAAAGCTAGAGGAAAATGTATCTTACTTTAAACTTTACTTTAAAATACTGTAAATAAATCTAAAGCCCTTGAGTTTGTACAAATTGGTGAGTTGGACAACTAGTTATAGGCAGGTGTGAAGAAATGCTGTCGAGCAGGGGCGGACTTACCATTTGAGCACTCGGGCACTGCCCAAGGGCCTGGTGTCAGTAGGGGGACCCCATGAGATGCCCCTGGTACCTTTTCATTAGCTTTTTCATAGGCTTTTTTTGGGTGTGGGCGAGGACATGGGGGCCCCATGATCCCCTATTGCCCGGGGGCCCCATGAGTTGTCAGTCCGCCCCTGCTGTCAAGTAAAAATGCTTTCAAGAATAAATATTTTAATTGCCTATTTTTATCAATTTACAAAATGCAAAGTGAGCAAATAGTAGAAAAATCCAAATCCATATTTGGTGTGACTACCTTTTTGACTTCGAACCAGAATCCAATTCTTCTAGGTACATTTGCACAGTTTTTTTAAGGAATTTAGCAGGTAAGTTGTTTCAAACATCTTGGAGAACTAACCACAGAAGTGGATTTAGGCTGCCTCAGATCCTTCTACCTCTTCATGTAATCCTAGACACACTGGATGATGTTGAGATCAGGACTCTGGGAGGAAAACCATCTCTTCCAGAACTCCTTGTTCTTCTCTATGCTGAAGATAGTTTTTTTTTTTTTTTTTTTTTTTTTTTTGTGTTTTTTTTTTTTACATTGGCTGTATGTTTGGGGTCATTGTCCTTCTGCCGAATACATTTGGGACCAATCACATGCCTCTCTGATGGTATGGCATGACAGATAATTATCTGCCTGGATTTTCTCAGCATTGAGGACACCATTGATCGGGCAACATTAAGGACCATAGACACAGTGGGCAGCCAAGGAAACTTAATGCAGAAGATAAAGACACATCATGCTTACTTCCCTTCAACATCAGAAGATGTCCAGCAGTGCCATCAGTATAGAACTGGCAGAAACCAGTAGGACCTAGGTACACTCATTTACTGTCCAAAGAAGCCTGGCCAGAAGCAGTCTTTACAGAATAATTGCAGTCAAAAAGCCATACCTCTGACAAGGAAGCAAGGCTACTTGACCCAACTTTGCACAGAAACATATGGGCAGAAAAAGAGCATTAGGTGCTCTGGACTGATGAGTCAAAATTTGAAATATTTGGCTGTAGCAAGAGGCAGTTAGTTCACAGAAGGACTGGAGAGTTGTACAATA